GTGGAGACATGTATAATTTGTTCTTTCTAATTGTTTAGAATGAAGTTGATATGATGAAGTGGAGAGTGAAAAAACTTAGTTGACGAGGAAAAAGTTTTCAATTAATCTTATTGTTTATAGATGTTTATCTTTAATTTTGAACAATTTGAATTGATCATTTGCGGTTTGCTTGTATGCTCTAGATTGATATTTTTTTATGATTAATTTGTATGAAAAAATTGATGTTAAACTTTTATTTTGAAAGAAACTTGTTATTGTAAATTTTTAACACAAAAACCCACGGGTACCCATGAATCCGCGGATACCCGGCGGGTTGGGTTTGAGTTTTTCAAACCCAATGGGTTTTAACCCGGGTTTTTTTGGTAGATAAACCAATGGGTTTGGGTTTGGGTTTGACAAAACCCGCCCCAACCCAACCCATTGCCATCCCTATTCGGAACCGAACCCGTGTTGGCTCCTTTCGCCGGCCGGTGCTTCAAATTCGGGAGATGATCTGGCGGCGAGGGGCGGAATCTTTTATTGGTTTGATACTCCCCAATTGTTCACAGCTGCCATTTTTCTTGCTTTTTCATTTTTTTTAAATTGACATCTCATTAAGTTAACGGTCCAGTCAGCAATTTCGTTTGCCACGTCATAAAAAAACTAACGGAGTTAACGGAGACTAACGAAAAGTGACTAACGGTGAAACGATTCGTAAAGTTAGTGGCGAATAAGAAAGAAAAGTAATTCGGGTGACAAACGTGAACGATTTATTTAATTTGAGTGACCAAACATGTAATTTAGCCTTTTATTTTGGGCATTGCTATTCGTCGCCCTAAAATAGCTTATCCGTCGCCCTAATTTTTATTAAAATGACTATGATGCCCTTTGTTTAGTTTTTTTTTTAACTTAAAAATATACCAAATAAATAAAATATTAAGAAAATCAATTACAAGTAGAATAAAAAATAAGTTCAACGGAAAAAAAAAAACAAATACAATAAGAAAATTGAAATTTGATTGGGATTATGGAAACAAAAAAAAAAAAAAAAACCTCAACTACGGTGGTTGGATTTTAAGCGGCAAGGTTCTTCTTCCTTATTCCTCCTCCTCGTGCCTCTTCCTACTCGACAGACCAGTGCTCGATCTCTTTACTCCTGCTCCTTCATTAACAATAGCAGCGGGTCGACGGAGAATGGGATAATGGCAGCGACTGCGTGCGGGGGAATGGCCACGACGGCCAGAATCCGGCTCGGGGAAACGCAACGATGGCATTTGGGGGAATCAGAGTCATGGTGGGTTGGGGAAACGGCAGGACTGTCGTGATCAGACTGGTGGACGGGACAACGGGGTGAGATTGGGTGAAATTGTGTTTGTTTAGAGATTAGGGTTTGAATTTGGGATAGGGCCATCAACGTCATTTTCATACAGTTTAGGGCGAAAATATTTAAATTTTAGGGCGACAAATAGCAATTTAGTTTATTTTTTTATGTTGCAGCAGATAATTGTGGTGATGAAGATTTACATTTACTGGGGAGAAGATTTGTCAAGCCATCGATCACATCCCTCGCACTTCTCTTGTTATTGGCAATAGAGGTTTCAGCATGCTCAAGAGGTAAGAATTTAAAATTAAAATCTCTTCCTAGTTACCCCTTTTCGTTTTTACATGTTCCTGTGCTGATTTTCATTTGTACTTTTTACCTTTTTACTGCGTTGATTTTCTTGTGCAGGGTGATAATTATAATTTTAAGTTTTTTTTATTTTTTAATTTTTACGATAATGACGTGGAATGTTTAATAGATTAATTTTTATTTATTTTTAATTGCCACGTCACCTATTTAACAGTCAACTATGAGAGTTGACTGCCACCTCAACAAAAGTTAACGGAGACTAACAGCTAGTGACCAAACATGGACTGTTTAACTAATTTGAGTGACTACGGATGGAATAAATTAATCTTAGTGGCAAACGTGAACTTTCGTAGCAATTCAAGTGACCAAACTTGCAATTTACTCTTTTATAATGTTTTAAATTCATGCAAATTACCTAACTTGAAATTATACTCAAGTTACTGTAGGAGATACCTGTATTTTTTCTTCTTCTATTCAAGTAAACAATGCATTGACAACAGATAGCTTGAATGCTTGGATGTATGATTAATCATGGAGAGTCTTTGTTTATCAGACAAGTTGCATTGTGATATAGATGGAGATGGAGTCTTCTTTTTTTTTTTTGTTTTATCGGAGACTAAAGAGAAGCATTGACTTTGAATATATATATATATATATATATATATATATATATATATATGCAGCGATGGGGGGTGATGGAACACAATATCCATTCTATTCTGTTCATTCCAAGCTATAGCTTCGCTTGATCAACACAACATGCCTTCAATAAGCAGAAGTTTCCGTATGGCTTCATCCGCCAACGATGTGTGGGGGGCGATTTTCGGTGCCACCTATGTGTACCCGCTGGCCATGCCCGCCCATTATGACGCCATCCTAGTGACCGGCCGAGACGGTCTAACCGCCGGTTCGATTCGCCAGATCACCTATGGATATGGTACGCATAGTAGACAGTAATTACTCATTTTAACAACTACTCTTGATGTCAATATATCTCTAATCATTGTATTGTGCGACATATATGGTGCAGAGATAGCGGGTATGGTTAGGCGGGCGACCGAGGAGATCACCGGGGTCGACCATGAGAATCGAACCATTGATTTGGGGTTTCGTAATGACGATGACATCGTGGGCACGTTCTTTCGTTCCGCCTCCATGGTCGTAAAGGTGGATCCGAATTCCGTCGGCGACGGCCCCAACAGCCGAGGTTCCAACATCACCTGGACTTTGACCTACGCTTCCGATTCCAATGGCAGCCTCAATTTGAAAAAGTTCGAGAATGCTACAGCGCGCGGATTCGAGACTTTGGACGCTTATCTAATGAACGCCTAAGATCATTCCTTTATCCACAGAAAAGACGTACTGAATCTTCGATTTCTGTTTTTCGGTCTTTTTTTTCCCTAACACTTCTATATGCACGTTGGTGTGCTCAATAAATAATCAATCCATATTATTGTACTTACTGACGAGGATGAACCTTTCTTGCTTCTTCTTCGTCTTATGTTGGGTATTAGGTGAAGTAATGGTATTTATGGATCAAGACAAATAAATATTTGCCGTTTAATCACTCATTTTAGGAATTTCACTAAAACAAACAAGGTCTTAATTTTTATTCTTGTTATTACACGCACAGAAGAAGCTTTGCTTCTTTCTTTCTTTGCACTCTCTAACAACTTCCATGCCCCATACACGCAGACATATATATAATGGAATGATAAAAGAAACATAACCATTACTCTTGTGACCATGCTTGAATTATTTTACAATTATTGCTCTTAATCAAAGTAGTTGATGCCCGCCACCATAATTGCTCAACTAGGGTTGGCTATTTGGTCCGGATTGTTTGGTTTTACCCGAAACCGGACCGTATAACTCGGATCGGGACCGGACTGGGACCGCCTAGCAAACAATCTAACTCGAAAAGACCGGACTGGGACCGGATCAATTTGGTCTAATTTAACCGGACTGGACCGTATAGCCACCCTATGCTCAACTACTCTCCATGTGTTGTGTTGTATTGATGCATCAACATTATTCAGTTACTCAAACATCTTCTCAGCATGTGAACTTGTTGCTAGCTAATTCAACCAAAGGAGTCAAGTGTTTGTCTTCTTATGGCTAAGGACATTTTTAGATAAGCTTGCATTATTTGCAATATGGAGTTACTCTTTGAACTTCTCAAACTTCTCACAGGTGACCGTCTTTGTCATGATATTTGATGGCTGATCATCGGTGTTGATAAATTCCATCACAATTACTTCTTGATTGACGAAGTCTAGGATGAAATGATAACACACTCGATATGCTTCGATCTTGCGTGGAATACTGGATTCTTTGTCATTGCTATGGCTGACATGTTGTCACAATGAATAATGGTTGGACCATTTTCACTTTGCTGCAAATAAGAAATTAATCTTTTTAGCCATACCGCTTCGCATGCTGCATCTGTAGCTGCAATATATTATGCTTCCGCGGAAGATAATGCTACAGTCTTCTACTTCTTTGAACTCTAGGAAATTGCTTTTGTACCCAGGCAGAATATGTACCCCTATGTGCTTTTTCGATCATCTAGTGATCTGCCCAGTCACTATCGGTAAAACCAGTCAGTTTGCTTTATGCTTCTTTCTTGTACGTCAAGCCCAATTTCTTTGTACCTTGAAGATACCGCAAAATTCTTTTGGCTGCTGCAAAATTAAGTTTGCTAGGTTCATTTGTAAATCTTGATATAAGACTTACTAAATGACATATATCCGACCTGGTATGTGTCAGGTAAATGAGTGAACCGACAAGACTTCTGTACAACTTACCATCGACTTTTTCAGCTCCATCATGACGTTGGAATTTCTCGTTTAACGCCAGCAGTGTTGAGATTGGTTTTCACGTTGCCATGTGAAATCTTTTCAGCATATCTTTGGTGTACTTCTCCGGTGAAATAAATATTTCTCCAGGTGACTGCTTCACTTGGATCCCAAGAAAATATTTCATGAGTCCCCAGTCCGCCATCTCGAATTCTTTTATCATGGTACTTTTGAATTCTTCGATCATATGCTGACTTGTACCTGTGTAAATCAAGTTATCAACATACAAACACACCATTAGAAGATCTTTTCCTTCGCCCCCTTTTTGGTGTAGAGAGATGCTTCACACGGACTCCTTTGAAATCCGTTTTGATGAAAATATCGATCAATTCTGCTGTTTCATGCTCTCGGTGCGTGCTTCAGCCGTATAAATCCTTTCGGAGACGATAAACTTTGTCTTATTCTCCTTTTTTCTCATAGCCACGTGGTTGTTTCACATAGACTTCTTCTTCTAGTTCTCCATTCAGAAATGCTGATTTTACATCTATCTGGTATACTGGCAACTCCAGTTGAGCAGCTAGAGCGAGAACTGTTCAGATGGTCTCCATCCTCGCTACTGGTGCATATATCTCGTGAAAATCAATATCGGGTTGTTGTGAATAGCCTTTTGCCACCAGTCGAGCTTTGTACTTTTGGATAGAACCATCTTCATTGAGTTTGACCTTGTAGATCCATTTTAGACCTATGACCGGCTTGTCCTCAGGTTGATCGACAAGCTCCCATGTCTTGTTTTTCTCGATCATGGAAATTTCTGCATCCATTGCCTCGTTCCAAACTTCTTCTTTGGTTTCTTTTTCAAAGACTCGAGGTTCACAAGAAAAATATGCAACATGACTTGTTTCATAAATTTCTTCTAAAGACCTTGTTTTTAACGGAGGTGAATCTAAGTCTGTTACGACGTCTCTGAAGTTGTCTCCTTCTTGGCTAGGTGCAAAAAAAAATTTCTGGACTTGCAATTGGATCAGGGTTGTTGCTGGGATCTTCTGGAATTGCTGAATCCTCCAGAATTTCATAACTTGGTAGAGATTGAGAAATTGGATTTTCCCAATTCCACTCCTCCATCTCATCAAAGATCACATCTTGGGAAACCACCACTTCATTCTTTACTAGATTGTAAAGACGATATCCTTTGGACTCATCACTGTAGCTGGTGAAGATCAGCTTCTCTCCCTTCTGGTCAAACTTGTCTCGGTTTGGGGTAGAGATATGTGCGTAAGCTATGCACCCAAAGACTTTGAGGTGATCCACCTGTGGCCTACTATGGTGCCACGCATGTATCAGTGTCTTGTTCCGAACTGCTTTGGTCGGTGATCTGTTGAGGATGTAAATCATTGTATTGACCGCTTCTGCCCACTAGTTGTTGGGAAGCTTTTTTGCTTTGATCATACTTCTCACCATCACCACAATCGTGCGGTTTTTCCGTTCCGCCACACCATTTTGTTGTGGTTTATAACGGACTGTCAGCTGCCTTTTGGTTCCGTTGTTGCGGCAATACTCCATGAAATGCGTATAAATAAGTTCTCCTCCACAATCTGTTCAGAGAGTTTTGATCTAATGGTCGCTTTCCTTCTCAGCTACTGCTTGAAATTGAAGAAACTTGGGAAAAGCTTCTGACTTTTGCTCCAGAAAGAATACCCACATCATTCTAGTGAAGTCATCTACAAATAGTCGAAAGTATCTTTTGCTGCTGAGGGATTGTCTTCGGGTTGGACCGCATATGTCTGCATGTACCAACTCTAGTGGCGCTTTTGATCTCCATCATGTCTTTGGAAATAGTAAACGATGCATTTTGCCATAAATGCATCCTTCACAGATTTTCTCTTCTTTGTTGATCTGGGGAAGTCCCACCACCATATTTTTCTGCCTCAGCAATTTGAGGCCTTTGAAGTTGAGATGACCGTATCTGAGATGCTATAGGAAGGAGTGATCCAGATTGTCACTCTTGAATGCTACTTCACCATTTTGTGACATAGCAAGTGAGAAAATTTTGTTGGAAGTCATCGGGACTTTGGCCACCATGAAATGGTCTGCTTTGTTGATAATCTCACAAACACCATTATCAAACAATAGATTGTGAGTTAGTTCCGGAACATACAAAATGTCTCGGATGAGAGTTTTGTTACCTTCTTCTGTGCATACAACAACTGTGCCTTTTCCTTCCACTTTAGGCTTCTTTTCGTCTCCCAATTTGACTTGAGACCGGTATTGGTCATCGATGTCGGTGAAGGACTCCAGATCTCCAGTCATGTTGTTACTGCAACCACTATCCACCATCAAGGGAAGCTGTGATTTTTGCTCACCATTCAAGCATGATAATGCCACCATATTGCTTGTTTCATTTTTGGTGTCGCTTGACTCGCCTTCTTCTTGCTTGTTCTGGAACCAACAATCTCTCTGGTAGTGGTTTTGAATTTTTCGCTTGGTGCACTTGAATCTGCAGTCTTTTGTTGCATGACCTGCCTTTTTGCAAATTATGCAACTCGAGCCAGTGTAGCCCGATCTTTGTTGTTGATAATTTTTTCTGTTGTTTCCTCTGTAATTGGATCTTCATCTTCCTCTTCCTTGTGAGTTTCCCGCTCTGTGGCCTTGCTCCGATTTGGCGGATTTACTTTCCGTCATGTTAACTTTTGACGAGAAAGCTTGCTCCAATGGCGGTTTGGTGAAGCAGCTCATTCTTTGCTCGTGTGCTACAAGTAAGCCCATCAACTCACCCATTGGTAGATTTTCCAAATCTTTGGTTTCTTCTATCACAACAACAATGTGTTTGAACTTCGATGATAAGCTTCAAAGAATTCTCTCCACGACTTTCCTTTCTTCCCTGACGTCAGCAGTAGCTTTGACTTGGTTCACTATCTCCGCCACACGCGAATGGAAGTCTTTGATGGTGTCAATTTCCTTCATCATCAAGTTGTCGAACTGTCGCCATAAACTTTGGCGCCTGATGGAGATTGCCTTTTCAGAACCTTGAAATTGTTCACGCAAGACATCCCAAGCTTCTTTGACCTTTTTGATGCCATAGATTCTTGGGTAAATCGATTTGCTCACTGCTTGCTGAATTATTCTCAAGGCGCTGCATTTTGCTTGGCATTCTCCGTGTACTCCTTTGTCTGCTTGTCTGTTCGTTTCTTGGAGACTTTATCAGCTTCCTGTGGATCTTCATAGCCATCTTGGACTATATCCCACAGATCTTGTGAGATGAAAATCGGCTCCATTTGGGCACTCCAGTACTCGTACAATTCACTATCGAAAATGGGAGTTTGATTAGAAGATGTAGCAAACATGGTATGTGATGAATTTGTTGCCATGACTTTTTGAGAAAATTGTGTAGGCTAGAAATTTGGGGATTTTTTGAAAGGATAGAAGGGTATATGCTCTGATACCAAATTGTTGGGTATTAGCGGAAGTAATGATATTTATGGATCAAGACAAAGGAAACATTTGGTGTTTAATCACTCTTTTTAGGAATTTCACTAAAACAAACAAGACCTTAATTTTGGCTCTTGTTATTATTTATTACACACACAGTAGAAGCTTTGCTTCTTTTCTTTTCTTTCTTTGAACTCTCTAAAAACTTCCATGTCCATACACGCAGACATATATAATGGAATGATAAAATAAACATAATCATTACTCTTGTGGCCATACTTGAATTATTTTACAATTGTTGCTCTTAATCAAAGTAGTTGATGCCCGCCAGCATAACTGCTCTCCATGTGCTGTGTTGTATTGATGCATCAATATTATTCAGTTGCTTAAACATCTTCTCAACATGTGAACTTGTTGCTAGCTAATTCAACCAATGGAGTAAAGTGTTTGTCTTCTTGATATGATGGCAATGAGGACATTTTTAGATAAGCTTGCATTATTGCAAATTATCAATCAATATTATCCTACTGCAATGTTCCTGGTTATTGTATGTGTCTCTCCTAATTAAATAATGTGTGTTATTGTAAACTCTCTCGTCTATAGATTTTCTCTCATTTAGCGAGACTACCCCGAAAAGGAATTGTAAGAAACCCCCACGTCTTCCGGCCTGGTTCGTATCTTGGGCACCCGCAATTACTCGTTATAAATATGGAAGATTGAAAGGAATTTGAAATAATAATTAGGAATTTGAGAAGAATAATTGAGAATTAGGGATTAAAGAGCAAAACAGGTAGAATAGGGAAGAATAGGCAAAATATATATTTGTAGAAAAATATGAGAAACCCCTCATAAATATCCTATGACCACTCGAATACAACTAACCCTAAAATAATTATCTTACTATGAATAATTAAAAAAATCCATAAAAAATGAATATCTAACAAACCATCCCTTGAAAGTGACTTTGTCCTGAAGGTTAAAGTCAACTTTCATTTTCTTGACCATAACCTTTTTCGGTTTTCAATTGCACTCGATCCCACAAATGAACCCTTCTCTAGCAATTCTGATGTCCCTTGACTTTTCTCTTACCAGGTGACAAATGCCACCTTCTCCGTAGCCCAAAGATTTCACCACCATTTCAAAGCTCACAAAATTAGAATGTGAGAGCTTTTCTGCCTGGTGCCCACCATTATTAACATCTTTGGAATCTTTATGGGGATGTTCCGTCGCGCAACCAACATTCTATTGGGGTGTTCCGTTTAAAACCCCACCTGCCAATCACATAAACTCACATTCTTTTTATTTTGGGTAAATATAATATAATAGACAAACCTTTCATTTTAAATAAAATAATAGCCAAACTTTTTTGAAAACAATTTAATAGTCAAATCGTTAACTTTGCGTCCAATCAACCGTTTGTTGACTATGACGTGGCAGAGTACTATATGGGCTGGATAGGTTTTGTCGATGTGGCACGAACTCAAATATATTACCTTGCCACATAGATAATTATTCATTTTACAAAATCGTTTTTATTTTTCAAAAATTGATTAAATCAAAACAAAACAAAAAAGAATCCAAATTTTACGTTACCCTCTCAAACAACATTGCTTCTTTTGTCACCTCCAAGCCATTGCGCTACCTTCTATGGTATCGAGGCAATTGCAGGAGGAAGCAATCAATCATATATGTGTATGTAAGGTAAAAAAAAATAAAATTATCATCTATCAACAATCAATATGCATAAATTGAGTATATATTATGGTAAACCATCTAATAGTTAAAGTCGAAATAATTAGAGCTTCATTACCTCCGCACACCAATAAAAAATAAAAGAATTGGAATAGTAGAAAACTATAAAATCTCCAAGATAAGAAAAATGAGGACAAATAAATCGAAAAAGGTGAAAAGAAAAACCAATTATTGGTTCGCGTGTAATTTCAGTGATGTTGGCGAAAGGCTTAAAGGCCCATCTTAGAGACTTGGACAGAATTAAAGGGAAAGACTAAAGAGTCCTCCCGTGAGATGCACACAAGTCAGGAAAAATAAGATTGAGTTGGTTATGGAAGAGAACCTCCATATAGTAATTGTAGGAGGTAGGATTATTGCACACTTTATACACGCTGGTCAATGCGTAGATCTTATCATTTAAACGATGAAATATAAAACAATAATGACTTTGATTATACAAAATGTAGTCATTTTTAAATGTTTTCGCATTAACAGCTAAGCCAACATCTCTAATCATCATTTTTATTAATAAAACCCCCTAATAATCACATAATAAAGAAAGACTTCAGTAAATATATCTTAACAAAAGACTTCAGCTACCGGTCATGATTCAGACATTCAGTGACTATGACATCTATCTAACATTTAAGCTTAGGAATCAAAAGGAGACTAACAAGGATATTAGGAAGTGAAAAAATTAGATCATTTTAAACCAAAATGTTAAGATATGTTGGTCATTTAATGAGCATCCTTCCTACATCCTATCCTACAAACATTATATATAGAGTCCGGATCCTGTGACTAGGGGGTGCTTAGTCAAGTTCCCAGCCCTTAGATATGAACACAACAATCCGACGGTTAAAAAGTGGGAAGGGCTATGTAATTAATGACAGTGGTAGTTTGGGTATTATGAAAAATTACGAAGTATACAAATCAGACTTACAATCAGTACAAACCATACAAACAGTACAAACTATAATGACAAAACATACAAACAAATATACAAACATTACAAACGTTTGAACTATACAAACAATACAAACTGGACCGGCAAACAATAAAAACCATACAAAAAAAAAACAACCAGGTTGAAATTGGAAGCTCCATCCCTATATAGAGGGCTCCGTCCCAAAGTCAACCCGGTTGTTTTTTAGACATACAAACATTACGAACATGGTGGACAAAAATGACAAACCAAACCGACAATCCATACAAACTGGAAAAAAACCCGACAAACAGTACAAAGCATACTAACCGTACAAAATATCACTAAAAATGACAAACAATACAAACTGAATCGATACAACATTACAAAATTGGTCAACAAACTTCACAAATCCAACATTGTCGCCGGAAAATCCTTCTCCGTCATTGCTAGTCGCCGAAAAGTCTACTCCGGTCGCCGGAAATGTCTACTTCGATCAGCTGAAATATCTCTCTCTCTCTCTCTCTCTCTCTCTCTTACTCGTACTTGTAGTTAGAGTGGGTCAAAAGCGGGGAGAATTCCCCAGCAAAGAACCCGCGACAGGAGGACGAAGGTACAAGCTGTGATTTTTTATTTATTTTAATTGTTAAATAATTAAATTATGTAATTACCATCTTATCCTTCATTAAACTAGGTAAATATGAACCATTAGATTTTAATGAGATTTAATGGCTGAGATTGGCTTAGTCATGTGACTAATGGACCCCCTTTAGTCACCTGATCTTAGCCCATATATAGAGGTTCCGCGTGAGGACCCATATAATTGAGTTTTTCCTAGCTTATGCGCATAGCTAGGGAGGATTCTCTGGTCATTTTGGCGGGTTTAAAACATCCAAATTGATAATTAAAAAATGAATCGGATCTCCATCTAAAAAAAGTCATTCCTTTTTAATTAATATGTTATATATATGGCGCTCTTCTTTAGTAGCTTGAGCAAAATCAAAAGTATATATATGTGGTTCAAGGTAGACTACATTTGTTGCGTTTTGTTATTTAGATCATTGATTTAACTGAAGTTCGGGCATAATATTATACCCTAACATCTAATGGGTGAAACCCAGTCTCTAATTTTCTAACCCAAATCATGAGATTCGTTTAATTTTAAAACAATAACCAATGATTTTATTCATCGAAATATATCAAAGTACATATAATAGTTGTGAACGCAAGCATATAACATACGCTAGCCTACACTAGCTTTTTCCATATATATATATATATATATGAGATCATCTACTATACTTCAATTATTGGTGTTTGCAACCAGACTGATTATCCCTGTCCAATTCATTAAAGTATAAATTCAATTTGCACAATAACATTAAAGTATAATTTCAATTTGTGTCATAAAGTAATATGTATGAAAATATATAGGTCAAACTGTATCATAATGTTTATTTTACAAAGAACTATATCATAATGTTAAAGGTACATGTTCAACTTGCACTATAAATAAATTTGCATGAAAAAGTATTAAAATAAACTAAATTTGACTATAACGTTAAGGATATAAGTTCAATTTGTAAATAGAATTTTTTTTCATATGAAAGCACCAACCAGATGAAGCATTGTAAAATTCATCTATCTATCTTTGGATTGATTGTAAATAGAATTGACTCGAGTTCAATCAATCTTTGGATTGTTTGCTGCGTTACTTTGATAAAAATACACCCCCCAGGGTCGTATTAAGTGGTATCAGAGCCCCATTCTACAAAAGGGCGAAGAAGAAGGCGAAAACATATTGTTTCGTACAAGCAGAATCATCGATAAACAGGGCAGCCATGGTGGTCGAATTAGAACAAGCGAATTTGACGTTATATACTCACTGTTTGGGGGGAGAGAAGGTGTGCTCCGTGTATGTCAATGGTGTGAGCCAATCGAACTTGATTAGCTAACGAGCAGTGGCTAAATTGGGGCTGCCGATACGAAAGCATCCGACTCCTTACTCGACATCATTGTTGGAAACAGGAAGCTCTGTTTTTGTGATAGAGGAGGTGACCTTACCGTTCAAAATTGGAAGCTACGAAGATGTCGTTCGGTGCGACGTGGGGCCTCTGAAGATGACTCATGTGGAGCTTGGTCACCCTTGGCACGTTGTCAAAGATGCTCGACATAGCAGGAGCACCAATAGTATCCGATTGCGGCATTGCGGGAAGCTTATTACTCTAAAGCTTCTGTCGCCAGAAGAAGCTGCAGAAGATCGAACCACCCTACTGCAACAAC